AATGCTCTCCAGAAAGTATAAGTAAAATGGGAAAACATGAAAGTTCAAGATATTTGTTTACTTTCAAATACACTTTTAAATGCACTTGGTTATACAAGAATGGATTCAAAAACAATTAGTAAAATGACTAAGAAACAAGCTAAACGTACACAAGAAGCACAATTAAATAATGGAATTATTTCATTACTTATAAATGAAGGATATTTATTTTCTGAAAAGAAAGTTAAAACAGCACATTTAACTGAAAGACTCATTAGAATTACTAGTATTTTTAAAGATGGTAAAATATTTGGAAGAGATGAATTAATTGAAATGGGAAAATTAACTCTTCGTCTTATGGAACAACACCAAACTGATACCTTCATTCAATTTAATCAACACACATTGTTTAACATCCCTTCTTCTTTCCTTTCATTTATAAATCTTCCTACATCATCAGATTTGATTCTTTCCACACCACAACTTATTAATTTGAATTATCATCATGACTCTTCTTATTTCAATCTATTAAATTATGATTACTCTTATGATAATGCTGATCTTATCCCTTTCTCTTCTTTTCTTCATTCCTCTTTTTAATTTTATTTGTTCTTATCTTTTCTTTATTAAAAACTAACAATGAATAATGTATTAATTAAAAACAAAATCAGATATAATTTATTTTTTTATTGATGATCGGTATTTTTTCTTTACAAGATATCAATGGATAAGAAGGTTCTTGTAGTATTAATATCTCTGGAACTTGTTTTGCTTTGTCATTGATAACTAACATATTCTTTTTGTCTTGAAACTCTAAGCGTCGAAACTTCTTTTCTTCATTTTCGAAGGGCAGTAAATTTAATTCTACTAACTCTTCTTTATTTTCAATAATACTGTTATCATGGGTTCTTATTGGTACTGAGTCAGTTTCCTTTTTATTTTCAGTTAAATTACTAAGGTTGATTTTAATTTTTTCTATTCCATTTTGAAGTCTTTTTTCATCTTTTTGTTCACTATTAAACGTTGGTGGTTTTAGTTGTGCTAATTCTATTAAAGTAATTTCTTTGCCAAGGTTGTTTAATCCATCATCAATCCCAGTAACATCCTTTTCATTAGAAGGAATCCATTCTGTGTGTAAAGTATTTTCTTCAGTAACTTCCTCAATTTCTTTTTTATTTGGATCTTTTTTTCTTTTTCCATTATTTTTTCTATTGTAACTTCTTCTTTTTCTTTTCTCATGAACAAAGACCTCATCTGTACCTTCATTAATTTTTGTTGCTTCTATTTTCTTTTTTTCAAACTTTTCTTTTTTAACTTTATTCTTTTGTTTTGGTTGTTCTTCTTCTTTGACCGTTTCTATTAAAACTTCTTCTGTTTCACTTGCAACTTCCGTAATAGTATCATCATCTACTTTCTTTTCATTTTTATCTTCAACCTCTTTTAGAAAGTTATCCTTGCTATCTGATTGAACATTTGAGGTTGTTGGAAAGATATGTTTAGGTTGACTTGTAAGGAGTTCTCCTAAAAATGTGAGTGAGTTTTTATTTTTAAATTTTGACGGAATAGATTTAAAAATAAAAACTTTTTAATTTATTAGGATAAATTATCGTTTTCAAACTATTAACTAAGAAAAGATGGTCAAAGCAAAAGAGAATGTCATAGATAAAAAATAAATAACAAACTTTGTATTGACTTAGGCATTTCAGGTGTAATTCCTAATCTATCATTTACTGATGGTAATGGTTGAATAAAAAAGTTAAATGGTTGGTACTCATGTTGTTCAAACAATGAAGGCAGTTGATACCCACAACACTTTGGAATAATATCTAAATAAGACATTTGTTTTGTTAATAAATACCTTTCTTGTTGCATCATATTATATCTTTCTTGTTCTCTTCTCAATTGTAAAGATTGTTCATAAAATCCTTCTGAACCAGTTGAATATCTATTAGAGAATGGTTTAGCAAATGGATGAGGAGGTAATTTTCCTTTTCCTGTTTCCATTACGAATTTCTAGTTCTCAATCCAATTTTTGAACCTCAATTATTTTAGTAAAAATAATCTCCGTTTTGACTTTTTGTTCTAACAAAAACGAAAGAAAGGAATAATGAAATCCTATTTAATTGAAACAACATTTTATTTAAACATCACGAAAAGATTCTTGTGTAGTAAAAAACAAATCAAAACTTTGTGACAAGGAAGGTTCTATGTACTTTTTATTTGATTCATATCTCTTTATTAATTTATTGCAACACTCAGAAGAAAGTGGGATTTGATATAAAATTTCTAATACCTCATCTACAAGGCATGAAATTTTTTTCCATGAACAAGATGACTAATTTCATTAATACTATATTCTTTTATATTAAAAAGATTAATAAAACAAACATCTATGAGTATAGCTAAGTAATTGTATTTTATTTCTTCTGAAGCTGTTCCAAAATAACGTTTTATAATCATTATATGATATTTGATTGATAAAGGATAACTAACAATACATGGGAAAAGAGTCATTATTAGTTTTCTTGTTATTTCTATTATCATTGATGAATATTGAATATTGTTAAGGTCATACAACATTAAAGATATCATATTGTGGAATAATGAAGATTCAGAATAAGACCTTTGTAAAGGCGTTGAGATTGAAATAAAATCAGTAATGCTACTAAAGTTTAATTCTATTTTATCACCATCAATACAATATAATATATCAATTACTCTCTGATATAAACTAGGTAATACTGAAGGTAGTTTATCTCCAAACGTTGAAACAACTAACCATATTATTTGTTGAATATATAAATTTTTAGGTTCTTTAATTGTTATTAATGAAAAAAGTAACTCTTTTTCCTCTCCAGTCATAATGTATTTTCGTGTTAATTTTAATGATTGAATCTCTTCATCAAATAATTTTGATTTCATTGCGACTGTTTCTAAAAGAATTATTCGTGATGGATCTGAAGGAGGTATTTTATCAATCACCGTTGCATATTTATTGATAAAAATTTTTTGTTCTTCCTCAGATAAACATGAAATACCTTCTATACACCTTTTTAATATTTGTTCAAAAAGAGGAGAATTTATTATATATTTCTTTATCATTTGATTAAAACAATAACTTCTTTGAGGTGATGGTGGTATCATTTCTGTATTTTTAGTATAGAGAAGGACTGAAGCATTCCAATCACCCTCAATCCCTCCACAACACATTCTCTTTACTTGTTCCTTACTAATAACATTAACAACTTTATCATTAAACCAATACCAATTATTGTCATACCCTAATGCAACTGTAGTATAATGCCCACACGTATAACTTCCTCTATGAATAATTGCTCCAATAAACTGGAATCCGCATATTTCTGATTCTATTTCAATGAAATCATCATTCTTTTTTAGTTCTGAAGTAACTCTATTAATAGAAATTAAAAAATCATTTGTTGTTTCACTGAAGAATTTAACTTGATGTGGTCCTTTTATATGACATTCTTCACAGTCTAATATCATATTATTAACAACACCATAATATTTATTTACACTTTCACTAATACTCTTTTCTGTTCCTACACTTAACGAATATGAATCTTCTGTTTTTTCCCTCTCTTTTAGACAATTTAAACATTTCATTTTAGTTGTTGTTTTAACTAGAAATGGGCTTTGGTTTGTTTGAGTTTTATAAACATCTAAAACATCATTAATAAATAGAGAAGCATCATTTTGTTCCCCAATAATAATGTTATGACCACAAACACTTTCAATGATAGCTTTATTCAATTCCAAATAACTCTGTTGTTCATTTAATTTCTTAAATATAGATCCAAGTGATGTAGATGAGGATAGTACATTTTTCCTAAAAGAGCTACACATATAAAGTAATTGAAGACTAGAATTGATATAACAAGTATTTCCAATATTTTCCAATCCTATAAATGGAACATTTTGATTTATAAATTCAATTGAATTAATATTTGATGGTATTTCTATTGAATGAACTAATAACCTATTCCATTCCCATAATGGAAACATAACAAGAATACTTACATATACCTTTCTTACTTCATCAATAGAAATATAGTTTTGATTAAATCCATACATCATGTCAAATATTTCGTTACTTCTTTTTTGAAACACTTCAACTACTTCCTTATCTACTTTACAATGGAGAAAAAATAGAAGAAGTTCAGCTAGACCAAATAATGAACTGTCATAAAAATTTACCTGTGAGCAATTAAAAATTTTTTGGAATAAAAATACTTCAATTCTACCAATAAATGGATATGATGAAATAACCTGTTTATTAACTTGATTAATACATTCTAATAACGTTAATGCGTACTCACTTCTAAACTGATTAATATCAATTAAATTAACTAAAGAATTTAACATGGGCCAAATTCTTTCTGTCTCAGAAACAGGTTGGAAATATTCATACTCCTTTTTATTTTCTCTTTTTCTTTCATCAGTAGTATCTGAAAGAGTCATAATGTAATAATTTTTTTTCGTTAATTTAATTTCAAGTTCTTAGAGAAGATGAGATTGTTTCTTACCTTTTGATTCAAAAATGTAAAAGAAAACCAAAATAACAATTTGTTTTTACCACAATCAATGTTCACATAGCATGACCATATCTAAATAAAGGTCATATTTTTGTAATAGATGTAAATGCTTCGGAAGAATAGACCATCTCTCTTGTTTCAGTACATCACTGTTAAGGAAAGACAGTCCATGAAAAATTTTCATCATTGTAGATAACTCTTTTTCATTAGAATCATACAAATGAATTGAATAACCACCAACACTAGATCCTTTTCCAATTAATGATGGAAGAATAGAATAATAAGTTGCTCTTCCTTCTCCCTTTATTTCAATTGGAGGATCTAATTCATCATTAATTTTATAAAAACCTTTATTGTTGTCTAATAGTTGATACTCTTCTTCTGAAACTAATACACTACCATATACATTACAACAACTAATAAAAATAGAATCTATTAAATCTTTATATTGTTGTAGAGCAGATTCTTTTAAATCAAACATTAATTTCATTTCATCATTGTCGTATTCTTCAACTTTAGTAAATGTTATTTCCCAATGACTTTTTGTTGTTTGTTGAATAAAACATATCCATCTATCCCACATTTCCTGAATTGAAGTGTCAAATCCCATTTCTTGTAATTCTCCTGTATAACTAATTAATGAACTTATAATTCCACATGGCTTAACCTTATATCCAATCATTATTTTATTAACAAATACATTGTCATATTGTGGTGAAATAATAAATAGTGGTTCATTTAGTAAATTTCCCTTTTGAGTAAAATCAGGTAATGCCTGTGCAGCAGAATTTGGATATTGGGTAGGTTGGTATCTTCTATAAGATGAATAAAGTGAAAAACAAACTCTGATTGAGGTTTCTCTTAAACTGTCCTTTAAAATTGACTTAAGAGAAATAAAAATTATATTATCTCCATAATGGTTACAATCTCCTTCATTTAAACGACACTTTAATGTAATGATTTTACACATAATTTCTTCTTCACTACTATCTTTAGGATCATATAACACAATAATCTTTTTATCTGTTATGTTATTTAAATGATTTTTAATGACCTCAAGCATTTCTAATTCATCAAATATACTTGATATAATAACATTCTCACTATCTTTAATTAATCTACCTAAATTGAAATTCCTATAATCAAACTCTAACTCTTTGATAATAGTATGAACAATTTCTTGATCAATACCCTCTTGTGCTATAAACAAATATTTTATTTCTTTTTGATATGAAAATGGTGCAAATTCATAATCTTCCCATAAATTTAATACATTCCATGACGTTTCTAGAGTTAGCTCAACAGATTCATTCATATGATTTCTCATTGCACCAAGAATAATTTTTGGTACTTCTAAAGGAACAGGGGTTTGTTGTGATGAAATTGAGTTAATGAATGGAATTGGTGGAATAAAAAATTCATTTAATAATTGTGAAACAAGAGTTCTTTCAACAGGATCTAGCACATCATTAGGAATAGTCAATTTGCCACTATCTAATCCATCCATAATTACTTGAACTGTTCTAAGCATTTCTAATGAATCACATAAACTTTTAATATTATTGTTTGATCCAAAGTCATAAGAATAATTATTTAATTGATGTGTAACAGTTGAAATGAATGTAGGAATAGTAATACCTCTAAAATATTTTCTAAAAGATTCAAGAATTAAATAATCAGTGATGTATATGAATGTGTCATTCTTTTTTGGTGTTTCTTTAATTACAATTTCTTCGTGTTGTACTTTCTTATGATGTAAACTATGTAATCTGACTTTTCGTGGTAAGTATGATTTTTGAGGTGGAATTAAAAATTGAGGTGGATAAGGAAGATATGAAGGTTTTAAAGGTATAATAGGATAACCCTTTGGTGCTTCTATTTTACTCTTTTGATGTGAGTATGGAAATTCAGTCCTTTGTCTTGAAGTTGAGGACTTTAACTCAGAAACTTTTTTTTCAATACAATTAACTAATGGGAGTGGAGTACGAGTTCTTGATAAATTTGAAGAAGATGAATCAACATTTGTTATTCCTGTGAAAAAACATCCTAGACACTCAGTTGGTTTTGTTTCACAAAATGTTGAATGAGTTAATTGAGGAAGTTTTCTTAATGACTCTGATAATCGTGTAATGTTAACCTTAGAATGTGGTAAATTTACTTCAAGAATAGAAGTTGGTATTCTGTATGATATTAATTTTCCAATAACATTATCCTCTAATGAGAGAACTCTTGAATCTATCTCATTACTACTAACAATGTATAAAGGTTTAGGTAAAAGAGTGTTGTGCTGGTTAAGTGGTTCCATAACAATTAATTTCTAAGTTCTTGATGAAAAAGAAATTAAAAAGTCGTTTCTTAATTATTACTCATTAGAAAAATTCAAAACAAAATATCAAAAAAAAAGACACCAACAACTTCAAATAATATCTTCTTTGTAATTACAATTAAAATTTCCATGGAAGTTGAGAAGTTTGTTGTGAAGAATCTCCCCAATGAACGAAATTTGGAGAAGGATTAGGTGAGTCATGATTGCCAATATTAGTTTCATTACCTGCAGGTGTAGTTTCTTCATTTATTGCTTGATTATTGTTTTGAGATGGAAAAGGAGGGAACATTGAAGTGTCATTTGAAGGAGGTATAGGCATCATATTAAATCCAAAAGCAAGTGAACTTGGATTTGGCATAAATGTGTCTTGTAATCTTTGCATCTTTAATTCTAAAGAGTCTTCTCTAAGTTTTAATTGATACAACATTTCTTTTAAGGTATTAATTTGAGTAACTGTTTCTAAATTTTGTTTTTGTAATTGCATTAATTGAGATAATAATTGTTGATAAAGTAATGTGGTATTATTTTGTTTCTTTCTTTGTGATTGTGGTTTTTTTCTTTGTACATTTTTAAGTAATTCCATATGTCCAATGATGAAATTACTATTTTGAAATCTGTATTCATTATCAAACTATATCAATTAATAACTATCTTTTTCTTTACTATATTAAAATAAAAATGTTTTTTATTTCTCTTTTTTGTTATTTTTAAACGACTAACTGTGTAGAACGTTCAAAAAACAACGTGTAGACAAAAAGAGAATATTCAAATTTTAAGTTTCTTAGAGTAAAAGGATCGCAAACTTTTTTAAATCCATACAATGATAATTGTCGACTAAACCCACAAAAATTTGTATGTTTATAATATTTCGGTAATATCTCTTTTGAAAATGCTACTGCATCAAGTATTTCAAATGAATGTCCTTGATCTTTTTCACACCAACGTATCTGTTTTAATTATTACTTAACTCTTCTTCATTTTAATAACTTATTGTAAGTAATAAACAAACATATTGGGAATTTTCTTTACATCTACATTGAATATAAATTGAGACAATGAACACTGATTTCCTCTTGGAGTAGTAATCTGCACATCTATGGAGAGGACATCAGATCAAATCGTTATTGCTCAGTAGCTGTTCATAATAATTTACTACGTAG